TATTTAACACGTTCAATGCCGCCGACACGCCAAGCGTGTTCTTACGAATTTCTATAACTACGCCTCGAACACGCCAGGCGTGTCCTAAATGTTTCAGTGATATTTCGAAAATTAGCCAAAATTGCCTTTTGGAATTCTCAGTACATAATTCGCTAGCAATAACCTAATGATTTTTGAGGTGGCCCCCAGAAAAATCTCTTAAAAAATATATATTTTTTTAAAGTGATTATGTAATGCCGAGAACCCGCCAGGCGTGTCCATTTTAAGGAGTTGTCAACCTTTGAACAAAAATCAATAAAATATGAAGATAATTATCTGCAGTAAAACAAATATTATATACTAGGTATTACGATTAAGTATATAAATTACCATAATAATGTCTTAGGTTTGCGCGAGCACTAGACATAAAAATCGTTGCGAAATTTTTTCAGGGATCGTGGTCTGCTTGCGACCGCGAACACTGAAACGAAAGGAATATACGCGAGTTAAGCCGTTTAAAAATCGTTTTATTAAATAAATTACCATTTAGGAGAGTAATGTTTTGTTTGCCAAAACATCATTTGTATTAATACTGTTTTCCATAATCGTCCCCGCTCATAATATTTATTTGCTATTTTCATTTATTCTGTTACTCGCAGCCATGCAGCCGGCTATATGTATTTCGGTTTCGGCCTCCCTTACCCCCATTTTTTTGTAGTTTTTGGCAATTCATATTTAATGAAATAAAAGTATAGGGGAGAAAATTATGGCAAACATAAGTATTTTATGAAACATTTTGTTATTGTTGTTTAATAAGTATGCTATCTTTAACTAAAATAGGTATCGTTCCGTAAACTTGTAATAATTGACTTATCTAAGTTAATATTATGAAATATTTCAAAACAACCACAAAATGTTTATGATCTCTTACAAAATTACGAAAATTACTTACCTAAACTTCTATTTTCAGCCAGCAATTCCAGGTAAATTCTCACTACCGTATTTCAAATCACCTGTATTCTTGCTCAGCGATTGACAAACTAACTAATACTCATCGCTAAACCGAAAAAAAAACAGATTTAGAATTTAACTCCATCGAGGTGCCACTGGAAACGCCTAGCGTGTCCATGTTTAACAAGATGCAGTGCCGCCGACACGCTTGGCGTGTCCACGTGGCTTTATAGGGTGGCATCGCTATGAACTTCAAAAAAATTGTGGTGGCAGTGAACGTGTTAATATTTAACCAATTACTTTGCAATTATAAAAATAAAACTTGTTCTTATCCTATATGTCGTATCATTTGTTTTGTGTAAACTACGTAACGTGTTTTTATTTTTATATCCGAAATTCGGCCGGATACTGTATTACTATCCGGTATCCGGCCAGATAGTGAAAACAAAGCCGGATACCGGATAGTTACCGGATATCCGTTTCATCTCTAGTCACAACCAAGGATGAAGGAGGAACAAGAAACATCAGGCATGACACTAGCTGCCATCAGTGTGTCTAGGAAGCTACCGGACTTCTGGGTAGATATGCTGCGCTTATGGTTCTCTCAATTTGAGGCGGTCATGGCTCCGCAAAAACAAGGAGAGGAATCAAAGTTCAATATGGTCATCTCTAAGCTGACGAAGGACGCTATCCAGCAAGTAAGCGACCTGGTTACGTCACCGCCAGCGAATAACAAGTACGCAGCGTTGAAAGAACGTTTGTTACAAGTGTACGAGGAAAGTGCTGAACGACAGTTCCAGAAGCTAGTTTTAGAGCTAGAGCTTAGTTCCCAGAAACCTACTCACCTACTTCGCAGGATGAGAGACTTAGGCCGCACGACGCAAGTGTCGGACATTACGTTGAAGAGCCTATGGATGTCCAGGATGCCAACCTCTGTACGTGCAGTTATCACCGTGTGCCAGGATCAGTCACTGGATAGTTTAGCTGCCATAGCGGACAAGATACTCGAAAACAGCAAGTCTTTCGAGATTGCAGCCGTAACCGACGGCACGGCAATAACGTCTCAGGGAGCGTTGACGGAACTGGCTAATCAGATGAGTAAACTAATGTTGGAAGTAGCATCACTGCGTAATGAGGTGCAATCGTTCAAAAGGCGAGGAAGTTCAAGGAGCAGAAGCCTATATTCAAACAGGAATAGGTCTAGTTCGAGGAAGAGTAAAGCACCTGGAGACCCAAATTGGCTATGCAGGTTCCACTATCGATTCAGGAAGAACGCGAAACGCTGCGAGCAACCATGTGCTTGGCGTGAAAAGGAAGCGGAAAACTAAGTGTGGTATGTTCGAAATCGGTGGACGAATGTATACAAGATCAGGTAGTTAAAAACCATCGTTTATTAATCAAGGATAGTAAGACTGCCTCGTTGGCCGAGTGGTCGCAAGTGCGACTGCCGAGCAAGGGGTCTCGGGTTCGATTCCCGAGTCGGGCAAAGTATTACTGGGTTTTAAAAAACTCAGTAGTAGCACGGAGTGTGGAATTGTGCCCGGTATATGGCAATAGGCTCACCCCCTATTACATGGGACTCGTAACATAAATAGTGAAAAGTGGGTGTTACATTGTACAGTGGCATAATGTGCACCTCTGCCTCTCCCCTTCGGGATAAATGGCGTGATGTTATGGATAGTAATACTAAGCTCACTTTTCTTATAGATACAGGCGCTAACATATCGGTGTTACCAAAACGGTACGCACAAAGGCGCATAACAGAGCCTTGTGATTTTAAATTGTATGCCGCTAATGATAGCGAGATTAAAACTTATGGTTTATGTAATCTTGAAATAACATTCGGGTTGAGACGTGTATTTAAATAGCCGTGTATTCAAATGTCTAAATTATTTGACATTACTCGGTTTTATACATTTCTGAACGCATCTTTCAAATGTCTTTTTTCCCACAATAAAACTTGTCAGTTATAATTACTAACTTTGTGTCATAAGTTTGTCGAGGCTGTGATTCTTGTGTGTTTTGTTTGGAAAATGTTTAAAATGCAAAATTGCCGCAGTTTACGTTCGAGAGCTATGGTGCTGTTAGCACAAATGTAAGTAGAAATGTTCAATTTTATTTGTATTATGTGTTTACATTTCGTAAATACCTATTTACGATATATTACGACTACCTACGATATATTTATCGTAGGCATACCTATTTTTCTGTTTTGATTTGTTTGTCTATAAGAAATACTAATCAATTTGTTATTTGTATTACGAATAAGGGCGTTTGTGCACTACACGGAAGTTTACCATCCGGCAGGCAGATTTACATCAACTTTCATTGAGAATTCATTGAAATTCATTGACAACTGTAAGAAATCGGACTGCTGGACGGTGAAATTCCTTGTAGTGCACAAACGCGCTACGGTTATGATTTCTTTTAGGACTTCCGAATCACCTAAGAATCTCCAGGAAGAGACCAATACTGTCGAGGCCATACCTGACGATAACCTTACGTCGCATCACACAATTATTGCTCAACCATCTACTTCAAAAAACTGTTTCTCGTCCCACTCAGACCACCAGAATGATTCTGGAGTTTCCCCACAAATATTGTAAGTAGCCATTCTAGTAACGAAATGTAGCTAAAAATTTATTGAATATTATAGATCTTATTATTAAGACGGCCTTATTGTACTACTATTATTATTGAAGGAAAAGAGTGGGTGTCTTGTCATTCATTATGTTAGTAATTTTTAATCGTTTTTTTTTTCAGAGACTTGATTACACCAGAAGATATAGGTATTGATACAGGAAAAAAAGGTAAAAAATCTTATTAATCAAAGGAATTTCGTTGCTTTATTAAAATTTAAACTCGCAACTTTTTTAAATTCTAGGACGAAATAGAAGACGATTCCAGAAGCTTTCTTGACACTTGACAGTGATCGTAGCGTTTTTGACGACAGTGGCGTCGATCCAGATTATATTTCAGATACAGATTCTAGTCAACGGCGTGGGAGGAAGACTTTTAGGTTCAATAAGTGTATACTTAGTACTGAAAGTGAGGCATCGATTGATGAAGCTATTCCAACAGTGATTCAAAAGCCAAAACGAAGAAAGATTGTTACTAAGAGGTGTATTTTAACTGAAATAGAAAAAGTTAACAGAAACAAAGAAAAGTATCCCATTTTACTAGTCTCTTGCAAATGTTTGTCAGTAAATCCTAAAAACAAGTGTCACACAATTGATGAAGATAAACGCAAGGTCATATGGGACAACTTTTGGGACTGTAATTATATTACACGCCGACAATGGCTTTCAAAATGTGTGTCTACTAAATCAGTGCAAAGAATCACAACCATTGCCGATAAAAACAGAACAGTAACCAGAGTTTACTTCATAAAAGACAAAGGATATGCTGAAGGTGTGTAAATCATTTTTTTTTAAACATTGGGCTATTCATCCGATGCAGTCATAACAAGTCTTTTTAGAGCAAAACCTTTATCACCATGTGATGGTGGTGTGAAGGAAAACAGAGGTCAGTATAAAAGGAGAGTTTTACAAACCGATACAATAATAATGCACATAAACTCCTACCATCCTTGCCAATCACACTACAGACGTCACAATGCACCTTACGTCAAATATCCTCCGTATGGCTTAACATTGCGGAGTATGTATCAAAATTATGTTGAAAAATACCCTGAATTTCACCATAGTAAGGAAATCTATCGCCAGGTTATGAAAACAATGAATGTTTCTTTGCATACACCTAAGTCAGATATGTGTGGGGATTGTGAGATATTTAAACATAAATACAAAAAAATATGTTCTTACATTGAAAGAACTTGCCATTCATGCAGTACATAAACTAAAGTCTAAATATGCCACAGAATTATACAGACAAGATGTAGTAAAACCAGCTGATAGAAGCGATACAAAAGTTGTTGCACTGGACTTACAGAAAGTGTTTTTAATACCTATGATGCCTGGTCTTCAGGATTCTGTTTTTATAAGTAGGTTGGTTTCGTTTAATTTCACGTTTGCGCCTTTAAAAAAAGGAGAAAAGGCGACTTGTTTACTATGGCACGAAGAAATATAATAGATGCTTTTTATAAATTTATAAAAAAAGAAAGAGATTTTAAAATTTCGTCTTTTGGGCCGATAACTGCACGGCTCAGAATAAGAACTGGTTCTTGTTTACTGCATTTGTGCGAATCGTCAACATTCCACAATGTGGAATAGAAACAATTACAATAAAATACCTAACGAAGGGCCATACCCACAATGCTGCCGATTGTGTCCATGGCAATATTGAGAGAGCCTTGATAAAAGCTCGAAATGTGTACGACCTTAAAGACGTGGTTTTGAGCAGTAGACGCAAAATGAAAATCCTTGAAATCGAACCCTCAGAACACAAATTTAATTGGGCTAAAAAAAAAGAGACCAGCTACCAAATCACAAGATTCTTTACAAAATTTTCTTATATCTTCGGTAACTACTGTACAGTTTCGAAAGGGATCACGTAATATGTTTTATCAAACAATGCAACAAACAGAGTACAATGAACTAGATTTTTTGCAAAAAAGATTCGATATAACTAAGTTACCGGAACGCATGGATATGCGACGTGGTATCAACCCAACGAAAAAAGAAGCGATAATTCAAAAATTGGTTCCTCATATGCCAGAAAATCGACGATTTTTTTGGCAAAACCTGCAAACTAGTAATGGTTCTCCAGATCTGGTAACACGACCGTTTACAGAAGATAATGATTAATGACCTAAGATTAGTTTTAGATTTTTAGATTTATATTAGATAGATTAGATTCCCGGGTCGGGCAGAGTATTACTGGGTTTTTCTCAGTGGTAGCACGGAGTCTGGAACTGTGCCCGGTATATGGCAATAGGCTCACCCCCTATTACATGGGACTCATAACATAAATCGTGAAAAGTGGGTGTTACATTACAGTAGCATTTAAGTGCCGTAATGTGCACCTCTGCCTACCCTTTCGGGGATAAAAGGCGTGATGTTATGTTATGTTAATTAAGTTAAAAATTAAAACAGAATAATGTTGCAGATGTGTTTGCTAAAATGCCCAAATTTGTCGCGGTATATCGCCTGACGCTTTTTCAGGGCTCTAGTCCCAATTTTAGTTTTAAATATTGTCACAGTAGAGAGTATATAATAATAATAATAAACATTTATTTCAGAATAAATTCCATATTTGTTAGTAACAACGAGCATTCTGGGAACGCCAGCATATATCTCAAAGATCGAAGTCGTTCGGTCAATCGTTCGATAATAAAACCAACAAAGATGGCGGTGGAATGTCGAGTGTACATATAACCTCAAACGTAAACAATATTATTAACGCATCGGAAAACTTGAGTATAAAGGAGATTACAGCGGCTAATGAAGCAATAATGACTGTGCTGTGCTCGGTTGATGTTGATATTGTATCAATTACGTCAAAAGGAAAACAATCCGTCACAATAAGGGATGTGTTATGTGTGCCAAGTGTTGCAAAGAACTTATTGTCAGTAAGCAAACTAATAGAAAATGGGAACAAAGTAGAATTCAATGTTATATCTACAACATTAGAAATCAACTGGTTGGAGAAGCCAGATTAGTTGATGGTGTCTATAAACTTAATTTTGCAAATAGGCATGACTGTTTGTTTACAATCCCCAACAATGTCAAGAGTGAACTATAAAAGGATTTTTCAAGTCAACAAGAGAAAATACATGCTTACTTACTAGAAATAAGTACATTGGAAAATAAGAAAGACTCCAACACTGATTAATAAAATGTAAGTAAACTAATCCAATTTCCACAAGACTAAGTCCGTATGATCTGTTACAATCATAGCATTCACTCACTCATTCAGTACACCTACACTGCTCACGCACACACTTAAATACGTCGCGCGCGAAGCTCGCGTCGTACGAGAGCGAGACACAACACGATTTGTATGACTTCGTCCCACTCTCTCGCTCTCGAGGTTATGGGAACCGGTTTATACGGGTTAATCAGCCGAACTCTCTCCTTCATACCTAGTACGTACGTGCGCATTGCGAGATTTGGCATACTGACTGATCTGCGCCCGCAGATGATAGCCCGATACGTACTTAATCTGCCTAGTACCGGTCTACCTAGTATAGTGTTGTGATTGTTGGATTATTGGAGTGGAGTGTAGTTTATTTATTATTAGTTTTTTTTTCGTGTTTTATTTTTTAATAATGGCGCCGAAAGGTAGCAGTGTGGCTTGGGACCATTTTGTGGACAAAGGACAAAATATGACGGAGTGCAAAATTTGCAAAATACAGCTGAGTTTTAAAAGCTCAATGTCAAATTTAACTAAACATTTAAAAAATAAGCATCCTTTAATTAATTTAACAAGAAGAAATGTTGTTGCTACCGTTCCCATTCACGAGCCGACACCAGGTAACCAGAATCCAGAATCAAATGTAATTCCTTCAACCTCTGCACCCTCTACTTCGGGAACAGCGCCTTCAGAAAATACCAACTTGGTGCGCGTGGTACAGTCAGGTTCGAAAAATATTGCCTCATATATTTATAAAAGGAATGCTGATAAGTGCAAATCCGATATTGATCAGCTTATTATGGATCTATTTATAATGGACTACCAACCTTTTCGGATCGTAGAGGATAAAGGATTTCGGAAATTATTACAATCTGCATTCCCTTTTTATGTAATTCCGACAAGAAAATATTTTGCAAATAATTTATTGCCCAGTCGGTACGAAGCTTTACGGACCACAAAAATGCAGGAAGTGGAAAGTGAAGTCGAGTCAATATGCCTAACAGCCGATGTATGGACCTCTAGTACTAATGATTCGTACATGGCGATTACTGGGCATTATATAGAAAAAAATGAATGCGTTTTAAAATCTCTTTTATTAGAATGTGTTCTTTTAGAGACCTCACACACTGGCGTAAATTTGGCCTCGGAAATGTTAAGGGTCACAGACGAGTGGAAAGTGACTCAAAAAATTCTTTTGGCTGTAACCGACAATGGCGCCAACATAAAAAAAGCTGTCGAGAAAGATTTAGGCTGGAAGCATTTTGGCTGCTATGCTCACACGCTGAATTTAGCAGTTCAAGAATCAATTCAAAGGTCAGAAGAAGTAAATGCCGTAATTAACAAAGTTAAAACGTGTGTTGGTTATTTTAAAAGGTCTGCTCAAGCTTGGGAGAAACTTGAAAAATTCCAAGTTCAAGCCGGTAAAACTGTAAAAAGGCCTTTGCAAAATGTGAGTACAAGATGGAATTCCACCTATTATATGTTGCAGAGGTTTCTTGAAATCAGAGAAGAGGTTAATAGTTCGTTATCTAACTTAAATGCTACTGCCATGTCACTAACTGTAGTAGACTGGGAACTATGCGAGGGTGTCTGTAAATTATTAAAACCATGCGAAGAAGTAACAAAAGAAGTGTGCGGACAAAAATATGTAACAGGCAGCATTATTATACCCATTACTACAGGACTAATATCATCAGTGGAACTCATAGAAACTTATAATCATCCTATAGCCGTGCAAATGTTACAACAAGATTTAATAGGTGCCTTAAAAAACAGATTCTCCAATTTAGATCGAAGTCGAACTTTCACACTCTGCATGTTCTTAGATCCTAGATTCAAGCTTTATTTTGAAGACCAGCATGTAGCCGAAAGTACCAAACAGCACGTAATACAACTAGTTGCGTCTCTAATCAATAAAGCCGACCAAGATCAGACTCGCCCAGAGAAAACTGACCAAGTAACAGATCCCTCCGAAACTGCTACTCAAAGCACTCTATGGCGGCACTACACAGAAAAAATGAAAAATATTCAACCAAAAGGAACTGCGCAGTCAAGGGCCATAGTGGAAGTGCAGAGGTATTTGGAAGAGAAACTTGTGATGCCAGGTGAAAAGGTTTCACCGCTTGACTGGTGGAAACAGCGCAAAGCAAGCTATCCGAATCTTTATCATCTAGCTGTCACTAAACTTAACGCAATGGCAACGAGTGTTCCTTGTGAACGGCTATTTTCGGCATGTGGAATCCTGCTAAACGATAGGAGAACTCGACTTGGGTACCGTAAAGTACAACAGTTGATGTTTTTAAATCAGAATAATTGAAGTTTTATACAAAAAAAAGAAAAAAAGAAAAATAAAAAAAAAATAAATAAATAAATAAAAAAAAAACAAAAATACAAAAAGAAAAAAAAATACAAAAAATAAAATAAAATGAAAAGTCGATTTTGTAAATAGTAAATGAATAGTTGATTTTGTTAATATTAAATAAATAGTCGATTTTGTAAATAGAAAATAAATATGTAGTCGATTTTGTAAATAATAAATGAATTGAAATCTTTTAAATATGCCAGCTTACGATTTTTTCAATTATATACATACAATTAGAAAACATTACATTTAGGTTTTATATAAATAACACGTATTTTATTAGATTATAATAATCTAATAAAAATGTATCATCGTAAGTTGACAGTCCTAAGCCTGTAGAAGTATGAAGGGAAGATATCATTTCATCAACTAAATACTAAAAATATTGTACTTATTATCAATTATACGAAGTATGCAAGATCATAGATTCATAGTTTTTTGATACTAGGTGGACTAGGTGGAACAGGTATTTGGATCACGTATTTAAAGAGATTAGGAATAGGTGGACCTAGTCCCAGATTTACCTAGTCCAACCCATCTCTAACATGCACACACTTATGGCCAAATCCAATAGTTTATGGGCCAATAAAAGGTTCTTGTATCTTTGCATAATAAACCCTATAATGTAGAAGCAGGTAACTATCCTAAGTAAAATTAGTTTACAAATTATATGACTAGTTTGGCATAGATCGTAATTGTTTGTCGTACTTTGATTGACCATTCAGTTAGGCGTTTATCTATTTACCTGGAAGAGGTTAATTAATTACTAAATGGGGATGTGACGGCTCACAGCAATCACAGTTCAAACAAAAGTTTGCAATGATGCAGACTCTGATGGCAAATTAGTTTCGTGCCTCGACGATTAGTTTCGTGCCTCGACGATTAGTTTCGTGCCTCTACGATTAGTTTCGTGCCTCTACGATTAGTTTCTGGCTGTTAAGGTGAAGAACTTATATGGGAAAACCCGACACCTTCTTCGCGGTTTTGCCGCCCTATAAGATTCCGTTTTGCTAAAGAAAATACAGATGTAGCGAAAGAAGAAATCAACTTTGTGAAATTTTTTTCTGATTCGTTAAGCAAAAGAGAAGTTATCACGAATGGGCACAAGTACTCGGTCTCTCATGGCTTTGTTATGACAATGGTAGATGGCAAGGTCTGCAACACGTCCACTGGTACTAAATCTTCAAGTCGATGCTACATATGTGGTGCAACTTCCAAGGACTCCAACAAGATTGCCATTAAAAGAGAAATAAGTTCCCAGGCTATTGAGTTTGGACTCTCAATTTTACACGCTCGGATTCGTCTATTTGAAAGCATTCTCCATTTCACATAAATTGCTAGTAAAGAAGTATAGAGAGAGAAAGACAGAATCCAAAAATAAAATTGGGATGATGAATGGGTGATCGTAAAAAACGCGCTGTTACCTATTGGGCAGCTATCAGAAGAGGCCGCAGGAGCGCGTAATAAACATTTTAGATTGTATCGCACGGATTTTGCTCGAAAATTTTTAAGAGAAAACTGCAATAGAGATATTGTAAATATCGCTTGCTTTTGACATCAGATCCCCTTATAAGTAGTATGAGAAGCTTAAAAGGTAGAAAAATGCAGTGTTTTTGGGAAGAAACCATCACACTTCTCATGCCTGGGGAATCCAATGTTAATTCTTCAGAGAGCTAGGATGAAAACTAATAATATGTAATTAAAAGTAAACTTAGCAGATTAATCTTTTTTTACATTTGCTTCTAGAACATATTATAGTGAGTATATTTTTAAATATTAAAATGATTTTTTTTCACTAAGTTATATATTTTAGAAAAGTCAAAATACCCGTATGTGCACTGATTTACGCCATCATAATATATGCCTTTGTCCATTAATTGCGGTCATTATGATTGGAGATTTTTTTAGGTTTATTCACCCCAGTAAGAATGCTAACCGTTAATTAAATAATTGTGACAATTCTTAACGTTTCGGAAACTCTTTCTGATAGACATTTTGGATTTGCCATTACGCAACTAAATTATTGGGTGAAAACTTTTCGTCACCATTCAAGGGACCAAAATGTCAGTACCCAACCCAAAGTCTAAAGTAAAACTTTTGACATTTCGCGCAGTTTGACTGAGATTTTCAGTCTCAAAGTCTCAGTCTGAGAAGTCAAACTTATAAAACTTTTGGAACTTCGATCGAAGTGAAGTATAAAGTTGTGAAGTATTCAAAATGATAGCCAATGTGTGGATGGTGGCTTATTTTGTTCGCTGGTAAGTGTTTTTGTTGTCCTTATTAATGGATAATCGGACCTATTTACTTAAAATACTTCGATTAAGTAATGTTTACGATATTCCATGTACCTAAAGTGTTTGAGCATGTTCATGTACAGCTCTTGAAAATGGGTCTTACAATTAAGTTTTTTGCCGTAATCTCGTAGATTTGATACACAAAAGTATAAATACTACTACTTGTAAACTTAAATGGCAATTGTTTTTGTTTTAGTAAAATAAACGAGTACCGCAGAGCGACGTGGCGCTCGCAGTGGCTAACTGCGGTGGAGGCTCGGCGGCGCGCTGGCGCCATGTAAGAGTCACCAATACCCCTGCCGTGGGATTCGCACCCTGGCAAAGCGTCACCGCCTATAAACATACCGGTGCCCTCCTGGTGGAGGCACCCAAATTTGATTTTACCTAAGCACCGAAAATATACTATGAACATATGTTGTTTAATTTGTTAAATACCTGTTAAATGGGCGTTTTTCAAAAAAGGTGTACATAGCGAATTTGGGGTGTCCCCTCACTTTGGCTATTTTTATAATTTTTGTATGCACCGTATTCAAATAAACTGCATATTTATTTAATAGTTACATGTTTAAGTTATAAAATTGGCTAAAATATGCAACCCAATTATCACTGTAATTTAAATATCATAAACTTAACATTAAAAAACGTGTAAAATATTCGTGTCCCACCTTATATATTTGGAACTTTCAAGTCTCAGATAAGATTAGATAAATTAAATGGAGTCACTGTTTTAGGCTCAGTAGACATATGTTGAACTTATAATATACAATTTCGAGCTTTTTATTTTGAATTTGGGTTTTAATAGTTCAAAATACTATATTTATTGTTGTCCCAGGAATATGACAAAACCTGAATTTCGAATACGTCACGATGATTTTTCAACGCGATTTTACCCTAATATATTGTTTTTTTTTTATTTCTGGCAACATTTATCTTGTCTGTGGTGTCAACCGTAATTTTGAAACAAACCTCAGTGTCAACCAAATTTGTGATTAAAACGGGCGCGTAACGGTGGTGCAGAATTGGAGTTCCAGATAGTAGCGGGATTTTTTGAGGTATGTAGCAAATTTTCAAGTCATTTGCCATAACACAATTATATTTATATTTAAGTCTTACTGTAAAACAAGTCTGAAGTAGTCATAAAGTGAATTATTGTTAGAAGTCTTGTAGGTATGAATTCGGCACATCGGGATCGTCACGTATTGTATAGCCGGATTCATTTTGTGACGCACCGGAACTATTAGGCTGGGGATACATTTAATATGGGAATAAAATAGATAATCATTCTACATTTAAAAAATGTTAGAATTGAATATTTTGATGTTTGTTACCGCTAATCTTCGAAATGGTTGAACCAATTTAAATGAAAAAAATATACAGAACAAATACGAATTTCGGAAAATCCCCCTCTTAGTGCTTCCCTACATTTCCTAAGGATCCTAGCGTTCTTGTCAATTCCTTAGTCACTCAGTAATTCGGTAAATAATTAAGAGTAGTGTATATGTTACATATATATGTATATGTTATGTATATATGTTATGTTATATGTATGTTATGTTATGTATTATATATTATATGTTGTGTTATGTATTGATTAAGTATATAATGTGATAAGTATGTCTGCTATATTTCAGTAAACATGGCTCTCACGGCAGCAGATAGAGCTAAACGCTACCGAGAGAAACTTAAACAAAACCCTGAAAAATTTGAAGAGCAGCGGAAGAAGCAGTTAGAAAGACTTAAGAAGAGTCGAAAAAAAATAAGTGAGTTGACAGAAGACAAAAAATTTGAAAGAAAACAATGGAGGGAAGAAAAGAGGAAACAGAAAGTCAAAAGGAATAAAAAAGAAAACGAAAATCAAAGAGCTACCCCAAGTTTATCCAAGTCTTTGTCGTAGGTACCTAATTTTATACTATAATTTTAAACATATTCTAATAAAAACACATAATACACACAATACAATAGCAACAGTCCATGGATTCTGCAGATTGGCAAATTATTTGAAATACATATTAATATTGCATCAGTCGTGCAGCGATGGCGAAATTGCTGCATCAGCCCATCGTGCCCTACAACGTGACGGACCGGCCGACGGCATCGTTTTCTAGAATACACGACACTTTTGTTTCCAACTTCGACCAAGAGTCACTTAATTTAGAAATAATACTTTTCTGTAATTTTATTCAATAAATTAGTTGCAATCAATTTCGTCCTTATTTGCAACTTGCCTGCCGGAAAGACATAATTCACATATAAACATAAACAGAATCATATAATCTGGTTTTAAAAGGATCTTAATTTAATACTTGTTGTAGTAATTTGAAATTGGAGCGTTCTACATAATGACAGATGACAGGTTGATCTTATCTACGCCATCACTGCTGTAATATGCATATCTTTAATAAAACTAAGTAATTAGCCTGTAATCTGTTTATAATAAGTATCGGTGAAAAGTTATATCAGTGTAATAACGTAAAACAAAGTTGCCGGTCATCAGAAGTGACACGACCTAACCTCAAAGCCGCGTGGTTGCCGGTGAAAAATATTTTTTATGCAAAATGTCTTCCAATGCAATGACTCTTATCGAAAAATTAGTTGGTCGAGATAACTACAATACATGGAGATTTGCCGTAATGACGTATTTACAACATGAAGACTTATGCTGTATCAAAAATGAAGGCAAACCTGTTGATTCAAAGCTCGACTTGAAAGCAAAGGCAAAAATTATATTGTTGGTTAACTCAATGAATTACTTACATATACAAGAGGCAAAAACGGCAAAAGAAGTGTGGACCAGTGTTGCTAACTTAGTGGAATTTCTACGAGATCTGGTGGTTTAGACTTACCTTTTAGCGGGCAAATTTTGATTTTAGTGACTAGTGGTTTTTTCTAAGTGGCTTTGGTTGCTTCAGTTAGTGGTATGGTACATAATTCAACCACTAGCACGATTAAAATAACGGAAATAACTTTTTGTTTTACTTTTAAACTTTACGTTATAAGTGTATATATTTTTTATATGTAGGCAACACTGAGAACTAAAGTGGTTTCTTTCTAGAATTCTCCGAAAATAGATAGTCAATTTCTCGAATAATTTTGATTATAGACTTTATTTGTATGATCACAGAATCAAGTTTGTTTCCTATGCATGCATAAATCTACGAGTATAAGCACAAAGGACAGAATATTACAGTTCGGAGTTCGCGTTGGATGTTTTAGTTTATTTTGTAAAAACAAATATGCCTAAACCACAGTACACCCAAAAGTTCCGTGAAATTTGTTTTTTTTAAGGGGGAAAAATCATCCAGTGACTGCTCCCGCCTGGGTGAGACGGGAGGGAGTGTCAGACTCTTACTGACTAAAAACCACCGCGTTCCTTCTCCTGCACGTCGAGCCGGAGCCCCGGTTACCCGTTAGGTTCTCCGCGACAAGTTCCGTGAAATTTTGTTACGTGACTCAGATTTAAAGGACTGGTTACAAGTGGTGGAAAATACTTATGGTTCAGTTGCTAAGTGCAAATTATGTGGTTCAATTTTAAGGAATCCGTACGGAGATTTAAAGTCATGGATTATCCAAAAAGCGCTTGCGAAATTCAAAGGTACGTACGTAACGTAATAAAATCTAACGTAATAATTATGGATAAAATTTACCAAATCATTAGGCGAAATCCTTAATTTCGAATGTGGCTCTTGATGACCGAGCTTGGACACAAGCTACTCTGCCTGTCCGCATGGGTGGGCTTGGCGTCCGTAAAATTTCCAGTGTAAGCTTACCTGCTTTAATACCCGAAAGTATAATAGCCTGATTGGCAATTATGCTTTCGAACCGTTAAGGGTTGAAACTTTAGGGCCGTGGGGCCCAAGTGCACATCTTCTTTACAAAGATATTGTAAGGAGGATGGTTGACACTTCAGGTGATCGAAGGGCTGGCTACTACCTTGGGCAAAGGTTAAGCATTGCCATTCAACGTGGCAATGCTGCCAGTCTTTTGGGCACACCCTACCTCACGGTAGCGATGAGGAACATGTTTTCTTTGATGCCTTCTGATTTATTTTTATTATTATTTTTTTTAAGGTGTAAATATTTTAGTTTTAATTTTTTTTTTATATTTTAAGTTGTATATATTAATAGTCGCAAAGGAGGAGAAAGGAGAAAAACTAAAGCGATGCGTAAATTGTTCAAAACAACGCATAGAAAATAGGACACATAATAAATGTGTTATATGCAATCCACTTGTGTTTCACAAGTAAACGAAATTGTTTCGTAGAATACCATAAACATGTTGTATTATAAAGCAATAAATAAAATATCCATACAATAAACCTAACTCTTCGTTTTTTTTATGGTGCATAGTGTAACGTCTTAGATTTATAAAGGAATATTTTAATGAATTTATAAATCAAATCCAGAAATCAACGTATAATATTTATTATTTATTATTCTGTATATAATTTACTATCTGACAAATAAACTCGCACTACCAGGTTACAACAGAACTTGACAATAATAATTACAATTCACTAACCTTAATGTTCACTCCAGTGAGGCTCAATCACGACTGCTTATAAGGCGGGGAAGACGGCCAACTTCACATTTGTTTGACAGTGACAACTCAATAATCGCAAACCGACGAACAATTCAAAAAAAGTATTGCCAGTTCTACAAATTACTTAAGGTTTAAATAATATTTGAATTAGTTAAAATCATATTTAATATAATACATATTAGTGTTTTGTTACAGTCGGCCATCCTCCCTTACAACGAGTCCCTTCGTTTTAATCACCAAATTTGAGGATATTACAATGAAAATTAACAAATAATGTAAAGAAAATAACAGTAAGATACAATATTTAAGCAATCATTGCATATATCACTTTGATAAACTTAAACTTAATATCCTATGCGGCGGATTTTGATTTCATTACATTAATTAAATAACTTCATTTAACTATAACTACAATATTTGGAGTCACTAATGGGCGGTGAGTTCTTACACCAATCATACCCGGCTCGAAACATTTTCGCTCAATTATTCTATAGCTGTATTCATGAGAGCTACTTCCTTCACTCAGCACTACTAACAGCCGCGATGCCGCAAGTCACTCATGGGCGGCGAGTTCATACGCCAATCATGCCCGACTTGTGGCATCCCTCACTTTGATCACTTCATCGTTTATCATTTGCTCAATAACTTCAATCAGTCAATATTAATTGTACATAGTATAATATAAATCTACATATAAATCAATTTTCACTATTGTCATCGTCGTTAACACTGGAAGAGCTAGCGGGGGCATTGAAACTTAGCCATGGGTATATCTTATCTATTGCTACAACCGACTCTATCTTGCACCTTTTCTGGTTAAAGGTGTGTTTTCGACTAGAAATCTATCGTGAGGTAAGATCTGCTTTATCCTATATGGACCTTGGCACTTCGCTTCTAGTTTCTTTGAGTTTAGGGCAATGGGCCATCTCGTGCCCCAGAAAGTTGCAGTTAGTACATTTTAAAATAGGTTTAGGGCATTTAAAACTAGGATGTCCCACGCTCTGACAGTTAAAGCAAGTAATAGGACCCCTCACGTCATTATTTTTAGACGATGTACTATCTACACTTTTAAGCGAATTATTGTTAGCTGATGTATCACCAGAACGCTTATCCCTATTTAAATCCTTCTGAAAATCTGACTGATTTTTGTAATGATTGGACTTTATAGTTTTGAAAAATTCGAGTACGTCTTCGGGCTTCTCAAATTTGGCTGCTTGAGCACCGACTCGAACGCCTCTGTCTTCAATGCCATAAAGTAAACAGTCCACCGCTTGCTTTCCAAAGATTTTACATCGATTAAGTAAATTTAATTTTGCAAAATAATATACTTCTAAGGATTCGCCGAGGCGTACCCGCCTATTAAGCATATCCGTAAGCAGTTCGGCGTAATTTTCGGTAGCCGGGAAGGATTCTTTTAGCATGACTCTCCATTCCGCCCAGGTATGCTTAATAGTGGGTAAACCCTGGTACCATGTCTTTGCCAGACCAGTGAGTTTAGGCAGGGCATAGTGAATAGTCTGCCTATCAGTCCAATTATAGATTTCAGAACATTCGTCAACCTTATCGAGCCAAATATTAATGGTTTGTTCTTTTAATAACGGGTCAAATTCGGGTATAACATTTGTTAATGTGGAAAACGATTCACGATCCCCTGCCTTCGATTTTAATGCTCTCAAAAATTCTTCGATAAAATCTACAGTCATTAGTCTAGGATCCTTGTTACGGTCATCACGAGATGCATTGCCTTTTTCCGGTGTAACGAGAGATCGATCACGTCGCGGATAATCATTTACATTTCTTTTAGTACGGTGACTAGCGTCAGACTTAGGAGTATCACACCGTCGACGTGTTCGATCCCGTTCACGTTTTAATAATAATTCACGTTCTCTTCGTACCTCACTATCAAGTCTCCTCAGCCGTCTCCTTTCCTGAGACAGTTTGCGCTCTTGTTCTCGCAGACTAGTTGTGCTACGGCTGCGATTCCGACTAGGCAGCTGATCACGAGCCGAACTGCGCTTTCGGGATCTTGTTCTCCGATGACGCTCGTCACGACGGCTACGGCTGCTCCACTCGCTTTCTCGCCGCTCCCGGCTACGGCTTCGCGACGCGTCTGCGCCTCGATGTAGCCTCTCATTTCTTTCAATTTCTCGGTCGCTCATGTTCCTGGAACTTAGAATATTTGTTTTACGTATATGTCACATTTGCACTTCGAACCTGAGTAATCGGTTAACATCGTTAAAACTACCGGGTAATTTAGCCTATTTTCATAAAAGAATGCATTTATCTTAAATGTACAACACGTATGGACTTGTATTTCAGAGAAAAAAGTATATTCCAAAAATAAAAATAAAAATTTATCAATTTAACTCGTCGAGTACCGTCATTATAGACACAATTATAGAACAATAGGTTGCGGTCACCGGTGACCGCTTGGTGTTTGACAGTTTAATCCATTTTCATCATCGAAATAATACTATATTTTGGCGAAAAAGTGTTGCCTTCTGATCTTAGTTGTTGTCAACTTACTTTACAATCCTATATTTTCATTAATATCAATCGAAAAGTGTAAATATCATCACTAATTGTATATATGGGAAAACACTATCACTTAGAAGATGGTTACAAATAAATCATGTTTTTACGATGAAATCTGTAGTTTGTGGGGTGGTAACACAATAATTTGTTTGAATCCCACTTCTGATATGTAACGTCTTAGATTAATAAAGGAATATTTTAATGAATTTATAAATCAAATCCAGAAATCAACGTATAATATTTATTATTTATTATTCTGTATATAATTTACTATCTGACAAATAAACTCGCACTACCAGGTTACAACAGAACTTGACAATAATAATTACAATTCACTAACCTTAATGTTCACTCCAGTGAGGCTCAATCACGACTGCCTATAAGGCAGGGAAGACGGCCAACTTCACATTTGTTTGACAGTGACAACTCAATAATCGCAAACCGACGAACAATTCAAAAAAAGTATTGCCAGTTCTACAAATTACTTAAGGTTTAAATAATATTTGAATTAGTTAAAATCATATTTAATATAATACATATTAGTGTTTTGTTACAATAGGGAAAAAATTTCTCATGAAATTATAGAAAACCTATACACCCTGCTATGTTTTTCTGGTGATATTTTCTTACTTTACACCCACAATAGCTAAAATAATGTGTTGTATGCCCATATTTAGCCTTGGACATCTTAAGGTCCTGTAAGGGTTAAATGTCTTTCGACATTTCGCGCAGTTTGACTGAGAAGTCAAACTTATAAAATTTTTGGAACTTCGATCGAAGTGAAGTATAAAGTTGTGAAGTATTCAAAATGATAGCCAATGTGTGGATGGTGGCTTATTTTGTTCGCTGTTTTTGTTGTCCTTATTAATGAATATTCGGACCTATTTAATTAAAATATTTCGATTAATTATAGAACAATAGGTTGCGGTCACCGGTGACCGCTTGGTGTTTGACAGTAATGTTTAAATCAGTATCGTAAAGTAATGTTTACGATATATTCCATGTACCTAAAGTGTTTGAGCATGTTCATTTACAGCTCTTGAAAATGGGCTTGCAATTAAGTTTTTTGCCGTAATCTCGTAGATTTGATACACAAAAGTATAAATACTTGTAAACTTAATTGACAATGGTTTTTGTTTTAGTAAAATAAACGAGTACCGCAGAGCGACGTGGCGCTCGCAGCGGCTAACTGCGGTGGAGGCTCGGCGGCGCGCTGGCGCCATGTAGGTGCCACCAATACCCCTGCCGTGGGATTCGCACCCTGGCAAAGCGTCACCGCCTATAAACATACCGGTGCCCTCCGGGTGGAGGCACCCAAATTTGATTTTACCGAAGCATTGAAAATACCTAGTTGTAGTGTTGTAGTGGTTCCAAAAAACAATAAACGTCTTTGATAAGATACCCCTAATTTACCTAAACAAGTTTCTTTGGTTCAAACTCAAACTCAAAAGCATTTATTTCAATTAGACCATGATTTGGTACTTTTGAAACGTCAACAAATATGAGATATATAATAGTCTGTCAGTCTGTCCGTCAGTGAAGCTAGGCGCTCGTTCCAAAATGTCGATTCGAGTGGAGAAGAACGAGCAAGAAACTCCATTCGTTACTCTTTTTAAAAAAAGTCTGTTTTACATTGCTGCTTACAGTTGCTTTAAAAGAAACTTAGGTATAGTGCTTTAAGGTAGGTATCTACTTATTGTGTATTTTTAAGGGGGGAAAATCATCGATATAAAAGCTCCCGCCTGTGTGAGGCGGGAGGGAGTGTCAGACTCTTACTGACTAAACACCACCCCGTTCCTTCTCCTTCACCTCGAGCCGGAGCCCCGGTAACCCGTTAGGTTCTCCGCGACACTTAAGGTTTGTGTTGTGATTAGGTTTATCCTAAAACATTTTGATAGTTGGCTGTAGCACCTGGTGGACGTGGTGTTTTAACCCTTAATAGCCTAGAGTTTCAAATTTGATACCAATCTTTTAAACCGAATATTCACATTACTATTAGCTTTTTTATAGGTTGGCTGTATGTATTTTACTGTTGTCTATTATTCTTTCCAACGAAATGAAAAAACAAATGAAATGTCATTATTGTTTTATTTTATCTATGACATATTACTTGCGCGGCAAAGTGAACAATTAAACACATTTTTCCAAAAGTTTTGTTGAATACAAATTTGATATATTTTCTTTTTCTGAAGAATATAAATACTTTTGAGGTAAGTGAATATATTATTTTCGCTATGATATAATTATTTTTTGCGAGTGCATGTTTTACTTGAAGAAATTAGTGCTAAATTTGTGAGTATCAATTTTGATACTTCAGGCATTCCGCCCTACATAAAACCTACCTACTAATTCTTTAGCTATAAAAACTTTTTGAACTTTCGATTCATTATTTTTCTGCATAGCTTGGTGTTGGGATTACTTTTATTTTTATTTTATTATAGAAATTTATTAAAAATGCGACCAGAAGAGATTGAAGCGGTTAGAAAATGGTGAAATTTCGGAAGACGATTTCACCGACAACGAAGATGACACAGACTATTATTCGAGCCAAAGAGATCGTCTTATGGAGCTAGAAGATGAAGAGGATGTAGGTAATTTTCCCACTGACCCAAACTTGGATGCAGATCCAGCAAATGTAGATACCGACATGCAACATTATTTAGAGACTGTTGAACGAAGCCCAACTCCTACAACCAGCAGCGAGAACAACCTGCAATCTGCACCTTTCAACTCTAGAAACTTAGTGTGGAGAGTAAAGAATATGGACATAGTCCAAAATGCTTTCCAGTTTGCTGGAAACACTGAGTATTCACAAGAAATTATGAACTTAGACACTCCCTTTCAGTTTTTTCTTGTTTTTTCGGAGAAGAAATTTTGCAATTTCTAGTGGACGAGTCAAATAAATATGCCTTTCAAAAGAATCCCAACTTTATAGAACCTGTAACTGTCTTAGAATTACGTAAATTTATTGGAATTCTTATTTATACTAGTGTGTATCATTATCCTAGTGTCAGGTCATACTGGTCAAACATTACAAAGTTTGAACCCATAGCGCAAACAATTAATCGTAACAGATTTGATAAAATTAGACAAATTTTTCACATGAATGACGACTCTAAACATTTGCCCATTGATCATCCCCAGCACGACCGACTGCATAAAGTAAGACCAGTGATAGACTATTTGAACAAGAAATTTATTACTGTACCATTTGAGCATCGTCTATCACTAGACGAGCAAATGTGTTCAACTAAAATTAAACACTTTATGAAACAATACTTACCTAACAAGCCCCATAAGTGGGGATTCAAATTATACGTTTTATGCTCTCTGTCTGGGTATGCCTACAGTTTTGAGATTTACTCAGGAGCTAAGGACATAGACCGTTTACCTGGCGAACCAGACCTCGGAGCTGTATCGAATACAGTTATTCGATTGTTACGACCAGTACCAAGGCACGTCAATCATATAACTTATTTTGACAATTTTTATACGAACATTCCTTTGCTACATTATTTGACCAACGAAGGTATTTATTGTCTTGGAACAGTTCAAAGAAACAGGGCTTGGAAAGTCGTGTAAGTTGCCGGAGAAACGGGAAATTATGAAGTGTAACGTACCCAGAGGAACATATCACGAAAATGTGACCTCTTACGAAGGCCACGAATTTTCGGCCACAAGTTGGAAAGACAACAAACAAGTACTATTACTTTCCACGTATGGTGGCGCTGAACCAGCGGATACAATAACCCGCTACGAAAAAAAAACTAAAAACCAATGTTCAAGTATCATGTCCTCGGGTCATAAAAGAATATAATGCACACATGGGCGGCGTTGATTTAATGGATAGCTTCATTGGTCGATATCGCATCCGCATAAAGTCGAGAAAGTGGACAACGAGGCTCTTCTACCACTTGTTAGACATGACTGTCATCAATGCTTGGGTACTATACAAAAAGGTAAACACAAAGAAAGGAAAACTTCAGAAGAATATTATGAAGTTAGCAGATTTTAGAACCGAGCGTGCCGATACTTTATGTAGATATTAAAACCACTCGAAAAATAATAGGGGAAGACCCAGTACCAACAGTCGACAAGACACTACAGTACCTTCTAAAAGACCCCGGACAGGTGTACAAGTACTACCCTCTACTGACGTGCGATGCGATTGTATTGGTCATGAAAAAATATTTATGGATTCTAGAAATAAGTGTAAATTTAATAATTGTAGGAAACTTACCTCCTGGATGTGTAAAAAGTGTAAAGTGTCGTTATGTGATAATAAAAACAATCAATGTATCGCATTATTTCATGCATAGGTATATTTATGATTTCTTAATGGCGTTAATGCCTGAAGTAACAAAATTGATACCAGTTGTTTTTTCTAAATAAATATGTAAAATAAATTTTGTGATTTTTTTAGCTATTTTTCCCTTCATCTAGACCTTCAAGCAAACACAGGAATATTAAAAATAAATCACTTTCGTAAATCAGGCTATTAAGGGTTGAATCTTTAAGATTTTGACTGCCAATAAAAAACTGTTGAAGGAAAATCCTCCGCTAAAACCGGTCACCGATAACCCCCATGGCGTTTAACGTGTTAAAGGCACCGACGTGCATTGTATTGCCGTTATCAGCAAACTAGTGCGATTCTATTGTGCGTATGTTTGTGTCATGTGAAAAACTATAATTTTTAAAGATATTCTAACGGAATCATTTATATTAATTAATATGGTTTTAAATAAAAGGACCTTAATTTAATATTTGTTGTAGTAATTTGAAATTGGCGCGTTCTACATAATGACAGATGACAGGTCGTTGATCTTATCTACGCCATCACGGCTCTAATGTGCATATCTTCAATAAAACTAAGTAATTAATTATAAAATCGTATAATTACAATAATACTTTACATATTCGTGTCGTGTTTCATAATAGTATGTATTTTCTAAAATAAATCTTTTGAATTTATTGGAATCTGAATGTTGTCACTAAAGAAAGAAAAACCTAACGATTTGTTTACATACGTTTTGTTTACGACGCGTGGAATGGAGACCGTACAAAATTGAAATTGTATTCTTATAAATAACTACAAAGTAAACCACTTGAACTTAGAATGTATTATTTACAGGTTTTGGTTAGCTACTTTGATTTGTGTCCAATATAGATATTTCGTGTCTGATATTATATACATTCTATATTATTCTGAAAAGAAATTACACAAAAATACAGCCATATTTAGTCAGTTTAGCATATTCTACTTGCATATTCTCGTTCAGGGAAGACGAAAACACGCAGACCAGTGACTAGACGACGATGGTGTAAACTGAGGCAGGTCCAGCATCAGGGACAAGCTTAAGAGAGCTTCTCGCCGAAGCCAAGGCACTACATTGGTGTTGGCTCCGAAAAGACGATGCCCGAGGGCCGATGAATCGGCGCAATAGGCTACGCCCAAGGGGAAGGCAACAAATCTAAGAAATATTAATATAGTT